GGGGGGGGGGAAGTGTCTCTGCAGGAACTCACCAGTCTGCCAGGGCCCATCGAGTCCTGATGAATCCCTTTCTGGACCACTTGCACTGCGGAACAGAGACACTCAATATTAGTCAGGAATAAGTCATCAAAACACAAAAACGTTTACACAGTCATGGAACGATGTCTATCATCTGGTAGCACGGTTTTACATTTTTTCAACACAATCATAAACTATTATGTTGAATTTCTGGTAACTTATATGAGTCCTATCTCCATAATGCTTTTGAAACATACTTGTGTTATAATCTGCTTGAAGCATAAGGCCAATAAAAGCTACAGTGATTAAAATTACACATTCGGAAAAAAATGTCTATCGTTGGGAGCAGGATTTTCACCACAATCATAACTATAACTTAGAATTTCTAGTAACTTTCTATGAGGCATATGTCTACAATGCATTTGAAACCCATACATTATATTCTACTTAAAGCACAAGGCAAATGAAACTGAAATGTTAAAAGTTACACAGTCATGTAACAATGTCTATCATCTGGGAGCACGATTTCACATTTCTTCAACACGATCTATCACAGTTGAATTTCCGGTAACTCATTATGAGGCATATGTCTGTTGTGCACGTTAAACTGCTTACATCATATAATCTGCCTATCACAAAGTAAATGAAAGTTAGATTGATTTAACTTTCACGGTTGTGTAACGATGTCTATCATCTACTGTAGGAGCACGATTTAAAAAGAATTCAACACGATCATAAACTCTTACATTGAATTTTGGATAACTTTATCGTAATAGTATATCATTATGAAATAGATATTTGTATACAAGTATAATGAATATTATTGATTTGACCACTGAACACTACTTCAAGAGTTGTTCAAATATATCTTTCTTTCATCTTATTGAATTTACCACATTCCTACATCGTGTGCAGAAACATGGCATACTGTGTGTCTATTATGCACATTACTTGTGTTAGTAATCTACTTAAAGAGCAACTTGCAGGTTTTTTTTTTTACTACATTTATGCTTAACCTTGCCTGAAAATTACAATTAAATATGTTAATCAAGGATTTGATATGTTTTACAAGACATAAGGGCAGGAATTCAGAGGAAAAGGAGCCGTTTTGAGCTCTGCTACTAAAAACTGCTTACGTCAAACGCGTCATATTACGTCACATGGGGGAGTTAACTTTCTCGGACTCGGTCTCTGCCCAATCCGCGGTAGTAGTTTGTAGTTGGTTTTGATTTAGTGAGCTGGTATTTTTTCGGTAATTTTACATTGCATTTCACCATTTTTAATCATGGTGAGCTTGTGTTTGTGCAGGTTGCACAAACTCAAGCCTTCATAGTAGTAATACTTTAGTCTATAAACATATGTTGCAGTGTGAAGTAGCTTATTATAACAGACTGGTGACTTGGCTNATAAGGGCAGGAATTCAGAGGAAAAGGAGCCGTTTTGAGCTCTGCTACTAAAAACTGCTTACGTCAAACGCGTCATATTACGTCACATAGGGGAGCAACTTTCTCGGACTCCTTCTCTGCCCAATCCGCGGTAGTAGTTTGTAGTTGGTTTGAGCGGTTGTGTTTTAGTGAGCTGGTATTTTTTCGGTAATTTTAAATTGCATTTCACCATTTGTAATAATGGTGAGCTTGTGTTTGTGCAGGTTGCACAGACTCAAGCCTGTCAGGACATCGAGTCCACAGTTTCCCTCACGGGAAACGGACCGGAAATAGCTTTCGTTCCTGGGTGCGTTGTGCATCCACCTCCCTGCAGCACATACTCTCCACAGCTTTATCAGGAAACCGTATTACATCTCTCTCCCCCGCTTCGCTGCTCTCTCTCTCTCTGTCCCCTCCGGTACACGGCACCGTAAGACGTAGTGTATAGTTGCATTAGGTAACGCTGTGGTGGCTGTACTGCTCCAGCCGTCTCCTTTGTGTTAACAAACACAAAGGAGACGGCTGGAGCAGTACAGCCACCACAGCGTTACCTAATGCAACTATACACTACGTCTTACGGTGCCGTGTACCGGAGGGGACAGAGAGNGCTGTATTTTAGTGGTAAAAAAATGCATTCGTCATCATAATTATTCTATAATTTACACAGTGCCTGTAAACCGGAGGAGAATGATGATAATGAAAGACTACGGAGGGATAGGGTTTGCAAAATTAGTTTATTTGGGGGATGGGCCGGATGCTCTAAGCGATCCACTTCCTGCCCGGCACCTCTGCAACGCCTCGCGTCACGTCGAAAATAGACTTGCATCCTATTTTGAGCGGAGCCCAGCGCCGAGACGCTTCTGGGACGCTTCTGAGCCGTATGCTGCAGGGTAGCTTGTGAATTTACTCCAGGTGGATAGATAGATAAACACGTTGTTGATCCCAATTTGGGAAATTATTTTGAACCAAGTTACTCCCCACCTCCGCCAACAGGCTGTCCACTGCAATGAACCAGCAGGAGAGTCAGGGCAGCTCCTGGAGACCCCCAGCCAATGCGCTCAGGTCTGCAGGATCAGAGTTGCCACAGCTGCTAATGGAAGGTCGGTCTGAGCTACGCCTCCTACCCTCACAGCTGACCAGCCTCCAGGCAGCAGGGAGGGCAAAGCAATAACAAAAGTCGTTCTGTTCGATCAGCCGCTCAGTCCAATAAACCAACCATTAAAGAGAACACTGACCCTGTATTGACAGACCCTCAGGGCAGCTTTTGCTCTCTCATGTTGGACTGAGGACACACTGGATGCTTCAATCACCTCACAAGGTTAAAGCAGTGATACGGGATGGGCTGAAGTTAGTAGGCTAGCATGTTTATTTCAGTCACTATCATAATACATGCAACAGAATACACTGAGTCTCTTTCAGATTCTGTTGATATTGTTAGTTACTTACACTTTGCACCCTATTGTCCTTCAAATGACTGATCCAAATAAAAAATGTGATGCAATTTATCACATTTGACAACCCGAGACCATTAAGCGTTTGGCATTATTTAATAAGAAATTAATTGTAATCCATTGAAGGTAGTTTCTGAACAACTTCTGTTTGGTAGTTACTCCTTTTTAAATGATTTATAATTTTAGTAGTGATAAATATCTTGTATGAACTACACTCATTGGCCACCTTATTAGGTACACCTGTTCAACTGCTCAATAACGCTAATATCTTATCAGCCAATCACATGGCAGCAACTCAATGCATTTAGGCATGTAGACGTGGTCAAGACGACCTGGTAAAGTTCAAACAGAGCATCAGAACGAGGAAGAAAGGGGATTGGAGTGACTTTGAACATAGCCTGATTGTTGGTGCCAGACGGCTGGTCTGAGTATTTCAGAAACTGCTGATCTACTGTGACGCACAACCATATTTAGGGTTTGCAGAGAATGCTCAGAACACGGGAAAATATCCAGTGAGCGGCAGTTCTCTGGGCCAAAATGAGGTATGCAGAAGACCATCTCTGAACACAACACATGGAACTTTGAAAAAGATGGGCGACAGCAGCAGAAGACCACATCGGCTGCCACTCCTGTCAGATAAGAACAGGAAACTGAGGCTACAATATGCACGGGCTCACCAAAATTCGACAATAGCTGATTGGAAAAATGTTGCCTGGTCTGATGAGTCTCGCTTTCTGCTGCGACATTCGGAAAGTAGGGTCAGAATTTGGTGTATTAACATGAGAGCATGGATCCATCCTCCCTTGTATCAACGGTTCAGGCTGGTGGTGGTGGTTAATGGTATGGGGAATATTCTATTGGCATACTTTGGGCCCCTTAGTACCAATTGAGCATGGTTTAAATGCCACAGCCTACCTGAGTGTTGTTGCTGACCATGTTCATCCCTTTATGACCACAGTGGACCCATCTTCTGATGGCTACTACAGCCCCGGATAAAGCGCTATGTCACAAAGCTCAAATCATGTCCGACTGTTTCTTCTACATGACGTTGAGTTCACTGTACTCAGAATGGCCACAACCCATCACCATTACCTAAATCCTATAGATTCACCTTTGGGATGTGGTGGAACGGGAGATTCACCAATTTGGACCAAAATCTCTGAGGAATATTTTTGAGCACCTTCTTGTAGTCTGTGCCACAAACAATTAAGGCCACTTTCAGAGGCAAAAGAGGGTCCAACCGGTGCTAGCAAGTTGTACCTAATAAGGGGCCGGTGAGTGTATGTGTATCTAAGAAAATATTAGTTTCAGCAGTGGCGAGCCTTGACTTTTATACCTAAGCCCTTCTGACCCCCACCCCTTCCTCGAAAAAAGAAAAGAAAAGAGTTATGAGTTATTACGTCACAGCGTATACTTCAGCGGAATATTCAAAACAACGGCCGGGGTGCAAAACGCTCAATGAAAGCGACCCTCTACCACACAAAACAACACCTGTATAACCTATTTGTGTTCTTTGAATGAAAAGGGATATTGCATGTGTTTGTTATTTCGTGCAGTTGTATGTCTTAAGTGTAATTGGCATGCTTATTTTTAAGGCGAGTTACGCTGTTGACAGGAAGTTGTTGTGCTATGGAACAAGAAAAGCTTCACAGCGGCGGAACTTGTCATAAAGTCGCGAATAACACCTCACCCATTTAGAGGAAGATATGATGGTCAATTTGGGGTGAATTCCAGAGGTGGGCCAGCCTTTAGTAACTGAACGGACGTACGAGAGAGAATGTCAAATGACAGTCCATTACCAATCATATTTCCCCTCTAAAATGGGGGGTGTTATGTATCGCGGACTTTTATGGACAAGTTCCCCCGCTGGTTGAAGCTTTTCTTGTTCCATAGCAACAACCAACTTTCCTGTCAACGCGTTAACTCGCCTTAAAATAAAAGCATGCCAAATTACACTTAAGACATACAACTGCAACGAAAATTAAACAAACCACAATGCAATATCCTTTCAATTTCAAAACACAAATGTTGTGTGTGATGTGTGTGTGTGTGTGGTGTGTGTGTGGTGTGTTGTGTGTGGTGTGTGTGTGTGTGTGTGTTTGTGTGTGTGTTTGTGTGTGTGTGTGTGTGTGTGTGTTGTGTGTGTGTGTGTGTGTGTGTGTTGTGTGTTGTGTGTGTGTGTGTGTGCAGAG